CTGTGACACAGGTCATAGGTCTTCATACCTATAGTAGAGAGAGGTCCAATTAGAGAAAGAAAACTGTACCCCAGGATCCATAACGAATATCAATTTGCAAAAACTGTAAACAAAACATTAGCAAACAAGTTACAGCAACACATCAAAAAGCCTTCAAATCTTTGCAGCAAGGTTCTTTGATAAAGGTCTGATATCAAAGTTATATACATGGATGAAAAATATACAGGAATGAAAGCCATTCTCCCAACAAATGATCAAAGATATCAATGGGCACAAATTATTTATAGCCATATAAAAATGTTCCAAGTCCCTAAGGATTACAGACAAAACTGAGAGGGGCATCTGCCCTGGTCTCAGAGGGATCCAATAGAGAGTCTCCCCTGAAAAGGCATTCACTATGGATGGTGAAGACCTACAAACATTCCTCTTTGCAGAAGACAAGAAGCTCCTTGTTTGGATCAAGCCCTACGACACTTCAGAGCCTCTTGGAAGAGACTTGTAACCAGCCCAAACATCCACAGAGGAAATTAATCCAGTAAGTGAAGAATGTCTCTTCTCCAGATGATGGCATCAGCTGGATGCACGTCCTCAAGAGCTTATCTACATGGTACGCGATCCACTGGCATCCTTGTGATGCCCAAAGACGGTAAGGATGTCCCGTTCCTACCAAATTCTACAGGAAAATTAGGGGAGAATAACGCCCAAGAGGTCCATAAGAAGAATAGGTCCTGATGGGCTGGGAGCTAGAATACTTAGGGAACACACTCATCAATGAGGTCGCAGAACCATTTGAATATGTGAGCATGCACCAACCAGCAGAGATATTGAGAAGGTAAAAGAAATGCAAAAAAAAAAAAAAAGGAGGATCTTCTCATTTCCCTCACTAGGGAACCTGCTGCTTATCCAGCTGATACCAACGTATCTGAAGGAAAGGAAGACTGCCATGCATGGGGGCAAAAACATCTCGGAAACGACTGATACTGAAAGAAGGTGACTGAAAGGACATCAACAACTATCTACCTGTGTGCCTACTTTCCCACAGACACAAAATTTTAGTGAAAATCACAAACACATGCATCAAGGGCATTCTCCATGAAGGTATTTAACAGGGAAGGAGGTAACTTTTACAGAGAATAGCAGACTGAATCTTAACCATGAGATAACTGTCTGAAAGATGTGGAGAAGACAAGATCCCACTGTGATGATGGTTTCTTGACTATAAAAAGCATTCAGTTTCCTAGAACAAAACGCCACCTCAAAGGCTCTAGTCTCAAAAGGTGTCTCCCACCCATGCATCCAAATTATTCAATGCTTTTAAATATGAAACAATGGAGAATGAACAAGGAATGACTGAAGAAAGCCCCTATGAAGCACTTACTAGGTACACAGCTTTGTACTAGGCTCTGGGGAAACAGATGAACAGTAGGACAGTGCCTGATCTTCATGGGCTCCCATTCTAATGAAAGAGATAACAAATACGAAAACTCTGACTGGCAAGTCAGATGGAAAAGTCCCACGGTCCTTAGGCTGCAGTGGCATAGTAGATGGCAATGCATTTTAATGTCATTTCCATAATAAGATCATACCCATTTCTGATAGGGAGCCAAGCACTTTGTGGATAAGAGCTTTTTTTTTCTGCTGGGGGTGGGGGGGAGGGTCTACAAATGAAGTGGCTATAGAACCTGCAGGAGCAGTTGCCAGGCAAGATTTCTCCAAGGATCACAACCTGACACGATGGCTGCTGACACCAGGCTGGAAGCATTACAATTTCAAAGGGTCTTGGGCTCAAGGTCTTGGCCATCTCCATCAGGGTCTGAGAGGAGATAGTGGTCAAGAACTTGGCTGGTGACCCTCTGATCACAAATAACGGGCAAGCCCTATAACAGGGAGACAAATGATCATTGAAGATATCTGCCCTGGTCTCAGAGGGATCCAATAGAGAGTCTCCCCTGAAAAGGCATTCGCTATGGATGGTGTAGACCTACAAACATTCCTCTTTGCAGAAGACAGAAGCTCCTTGTTTGGATCAAGCCCTACGACACTTCAGAGCCTCTTGGAAGAGACTTGTAACCAGCCCAGTAAGTGAAGAATGTCTCTTCTCCAGATGATGGCATCAGCTGGATGCACGTCCTCAAGAGCTTATCTACATGGTACGCGATCCACTGGCATCCTTGTGATGCCCAAAGACGGTAAGGATGTCCCGTTCCTACCAAATTCTACAGGAAAATTAGGGGAGAATAACGCCCAAGAGGTCCATAAGAAGAATAGGTCCTGATGGGCTGGGAGCTAGAATACTTAGGGAACACACTCATCAGTGAGGTCACAGAACCATTTAAATATGTGAGCATGCACCAACCAGCAGAGATATTGAGAAGGTAAAAGAAACGCAAAAAAAAAAAAAAAAGGAGGATCTTCTCATTTCCCTCACTAGGGAACCTGCTGCTTATCCAGCAAATAAATAAATAAATAAATAAATGAACAGGAATCAAATAACACAGTTGAGCAGAATTTTGGGAAAATTGGACTTGAGTGGGGGGGTTGGTATGGAGACTTTTGAGTGAGAATCTTAGAGCATACATTCAGTTTTCAGACTCCAAGGAGACTTAGCCAGAAATTGCTAAGGCATGAAGAATTCAGACACAAAAGAAGCATAAGTCTTAATAATATCCTTTGTTTTCTGTAATGTGACAAAAATTTAAGAAAAAATGGACGTAGGAAGAAAAAGGCCTAAACAGGAGATGAAACGTGATGATTTCAACAGTGGGGATAACAAAGACCCAATCACAAAAACAACATTAAAGAGAAGGGTAACCACAAGATAATATAATAAGAATGTTTATGGGCTGTGACTCCAATGCTCACCAGGGGAAAATTTATATCCTAAAACACTTATATTAACAAATATAAGTAAGAGAATACTAATGACTTGAGGGGCATGCAACAAAGCAGCACAAGGTCAAGGAGACAGTGCAAGCCTGGGATCCAGGCAAACCTGGGTTCTCTGCCTCTGACACATGTGGCCTGTCAATGAAACTCTCAGGGACCCAGGTGACTCTCTAAAGACTCCAAGTTACAGTTGAGGTCTTGATTGGCACTCGTATGAGGACATGGCAGACTACACTAAAGCCTTAGACTGTGTGGATCACAACAAAATGTGGCAAAATGTGCAAACCTTCAAAGACAAGGAAATACCAGATCATTTGACTGGTCCCCGTACGTGGGCCAAAAAGCAACAGTTAGAACCGAACATGAAACAACTGATTGGTTTAAGATTGGAAAAGGAGTATGACAAGGCTGCGTATTGTCACCTTATCTATTTAACTCAGATGCAGAGTACATCATGTGAAATGCCAGGCTGCATGGTTAAAGCTGGAATTAAGGTTGCCAGGAGAAAGATCAACAGTCTCAGATATGCAGAAGATACCACTCTGATGGCAGAAGATGAGGAAGAATTGAGAAGTCTCTTGATGACAGCGAAAGAGGAGAGTGCAAAGGCTGGCCTGAAGCTTAACATCAAAACTACTATGATCCTGGCAACTAGTCCCACCACTTCCAGGCAAAGAGAGGATGAAGAAATGAAAGCAGGAGTCAGATTTTATATTCTTGGGCTCAAAGATCACTGCAGACAGTGACTACAGCCATGAATTAAAAGATGCTTGCTCCTTTGAAAGAAAGCTATGGCAACTCTGGACAGCATTCTAAAAAGCAGAGACATCCCCTTGCCGACAAAGGTTGGCACAATCAAGGCTCTGGGCTTCCCAGTAGCAATGTCAGGATGTGAGAGCTGGACTACAAGGAAAGCTGAATGCTGCAAAATCAACGCTTTCCCATCATGGTGCTGGAGAAGACTTTTGACGGTCTCATGGACAGCAAGGAAATCAAATCAGCCCATAAAGAAATTAATTCAGGCTATTTACTGGAAGGTCAAATACTGAAGCTGAAGCTTAAATGCTTTGGCCACATAACAAGAAGCCAAGACCCATTGGAAAAGAACTTGATGTTGGGAAACAATGAAGACAAAAGGAGAAGGGGAAGGCAGAGGATGAGATGGATAGATAGATAGTGTCATGCAAACAACAAACATGAACTTGGAAAAACTCTGAGAGATGGCAGAGGATAGAAGGGACTTGTGTGCTGAATGACCAAACGACAAAAATACATCTGATAACCTTAAATAACTAATTTCACAAAACGTGAAAGAAAGGGAGGGAAGAAAACCAAGTTACCAAAATCAAAATGAAACGAGAGGAATTCACAATGATTAGCAGAGAAATAAAGAAAATTCTCTGAAACTACTTGTACTCAGTTATATTTCAAGAAAAGGGAAAAATGAAATTAAGGGGATAAATAATGAAAAAATATGAAATACCTGAACTGGCACAACCTGTAACCTAAACAATGTAATCACAGAAAGAGAAATTGAGCAACCTACACATGAATTCCCACCGGGGGACAAAAAAAAAACCCTTCAGGACCACATAGATTTGCAAGTAAATTGTATTAAACATTCAAAAACAAATCATCTCTCTATGCTCCTATGAAAGTACTTTCAAGAACAGAGGACGAAGGCACCAGCCTCCTTCTATGAGACAAATATAACCTTGTTATCCAAACCAAAGAAGGACAGAGAAAGAACCCTAAAGAAATATCCCTTAATAAATACTGATGCAAAAACATTCAACAAGCAAGGACACAGCAGCCACTGAGATGTTTTTTGCTCCTTCGGAGATTCGCCTAACGGGAAAATATGTTTTGCGTGATTTCATACGTACAGTTGATATCGTATTGTTTGCCTTTTCAATGGGGTGGAGGAGAGAAGCTGCAAGTCAATTTATGAAGAAAAGGACATGGAAGATAAATAAATAATAACCATTACGGGGAGAACAGTGTGACTGCTTGTGCCAGCTGCTTCACGGAAGCCTGTGAGGAAAGCTCCTGGCCAGCCTCCACACTCTCCAGAAACATGGGCTGTTACCAACTTGTGCAGAGGAGTCACTAACTTTGGTGTGCTGATGCTCCTCCATCTTCTCTTTGAGTAGAGCGGACTCGAGGAAGGTCTTTTTCTGGCGCAGAAAGGTCAGCTGGGACAGTTCTCCTCTTTTCTTAGTGCACTCTGGGCACTGGGAACACTTGTGCTCTCTAACTGCTGATGCCTTGAAATGAGAAATTGGAGTAAGAAATTACCGGATGCCATTAGCCCTCGTCCTGTTGTTATCCAGCTCCTTTCTGAAAGGAACGGTCAACACACATACTTGTAAGAAGGAATGACAAGAACTGACATCTTTATGGAGCCTAATGCTGAAAACGGACTCTTGTTAGATTAATCCCCACCATTATCTTGTCACGTAGGAGAGTGGGTTTCCCTGTCTGACAAAGGAAGAAATGGAGGGAAACTGCATCAGCCAGGGTCACACAGCTAGTTCAGGGGCAGAGGTGAGACACGGACCTAGGTCCCTCAATCCAAGGCTGGGGTCGAAAGAGAAACAAATTGAAAACATTGCCTATGATAATGACGACTGCTAGCATTCGTAGAGCATATAGGGCTTACGAAGCACTTTCCAAATAGTATCCCATGTTACACTCACAACAAGATGGGGGGGTAGAGGCTACCATTATCCTCCCTTTACAAATGAGCAGCCTGAGGCAGACAGAGGTAAAGTGACTTGCCTGGGTCACCCAGCTGCTGAGTGTCTGAGCCTGCATTGTGAAAATCAGGTCTTCCTGACCCCAGGTCCAGCACTCTCTTCACTAAACCACCAGATGCCCCAAAAAGGGAACTAGAGAGCTGGCAGCAGACAGCATTTGACATCCTCGCACACACTTTCTGCTAGGATTTAATTTCCTTCAGAGGAAGAGGACTTTGTTATCATCCACCAAAGAACTGAGTAGTTGTCAAGTCAAGCTATATCCTAGGTGCGTGTGTGAGTGCATGTGTGCATGTGTGTGTACATCTGAGATTAGTGCCAAGCTTCCTGGAAACAAACAGAATGCCAAAATCTCCTGATCTGAAAGGTGCTCAGAGGCTGCAGAGTCTCGCCCCTTCCTCTCACAGGCCACCTGCTGGTGCAGGCCCTACTCACCTAACACTTGGGATACTGCAACAGCCTGCAGGTGGGTCTGCCTGCCTCAAGTCTCTCCCTACTCTAATCCATGCTCCATTCAGCCACCAAAGAGATATTCCTGAAGCACAGGCCTCACCACATCACCACCCTCCCCACTCAATGAACTCCACTGGCACCCTATTGGCCCAGGATCAAATACAAAATGCTCCATTTGGCATTCAGAGCCCTTCATCATCCAGGCCCCTACTCTCTTTCCAGTTTTCTTCTACCTTACTCCCCCATTTGCGTCTCTGATCCAGGGACCCTGCCCTCCTTGCTGTTCAAACAACAACACAACATGAAATCATGGCACTGGGCACCATTTCACGCTGTGCTCCCAGCCTGGAATGTTCACCCTTCTCATCTCTGACTCCTGGCTTCCCTCAAGATCCCACCTTCCAACAGGAAGCCTTTCCCAACCCCTCTTAAGCCAAGTGCCTTCCCTCTGCTCTTCATTAGTTATTTATCCTGAACACAGCTTGTTTGTACAAATTTGTTTGCCTACTGTCTCTTCCATTAGATTGTGAGCTCCTAGAGGGCAGAGACCACCTTTGGCCTCCTTTCATATCCCCAGGGCTTAGTGCAATACCTGGCACGTAGAAGGTCCTTAATCAATGTTGACTGGCTGACTGACTGACCAGACTCAGCTCAGCATTCCAGCCCATTAGGTTCCTTTGGGATCCTCATTCTCTCACCCAATGTGTGAACTATCCCTGCCAGCTTGGTCATCTGCACAGTCGACAAAAATGCCATCTGTGCCTTTCTCCAAGGCTTTCAGGAAAATGTTGACCACCACGGGGACAATCACAGATCCCGAGATCCTCCAAAATCTACCTGGCTATGCCTTGCTCCCTGCTATTCAGCCAGCTCCAAATCCACCAAACTGCACTCGTATCTAGCCAACGCTTCCCCATGTCTCCCCTGCAAGAAGAAAATGAGGGTTTGCCTTAAACAAACGCTTTACTAAATTTAGATTTAAAGCTGATATCTAAGCACGCCCTAGCACATGATATACCCTAAACAGAAAGAGAACAAAAATCCTTTCCAAGGTCCTTAGACTGACTTCCTGGCCTTAGTTCATTCTCAGCTTTGAGCCTCTTAACACTCTTCATACAGAGACATACTATGTTTGTCTATGCCTTCTCTATTATGTATCCTTGCTCCCCACGGAAGATCCACGTTGGATGACGAGTGAGGTATCTATGGATTCACATTGTTCTCTCTGGACAATACCCCCCCTTCTTCCTCAGCAGAATTGTTTTCTCTGTGCCTTCAGAATTTATTGAGAGCTTCCTGAAGTCGAATATGAGTCCTTCCTACCCTACTGATCCACTCCGATTCCTTGGCCATGCGCCTTGCCCCTACCAATTCTAGGGTGCAGATCAGCCTCGACTTGACAACGCCCTCCTCTCTCCCACAAATTCTAGGATTGCTGGGCGAGGTGGCCCACACTTGTAAACCCTGATATGAGGGAGGATGAGGCTGGTGAATCCTTTGAGCTCAGGAGTTCTGAGCTGTTGTGTCTTAGGGCTTAGGCCGACCAGCTGTCCACACTAAGTCTCTGGCACTAATATGGTAAACCCCCAAGAGCAAGGGGCCACCAGGCTACCTAAGGAGAGGCCTAGGTCAGAAACGGAACAGGTCACAGTCCCCAGCATGATCAGCAGTGGGATCAGTCCAGAGAGCGGGTCAGTGTATTTCCAGTCCAGGAGAGATAGGGAGGCCCAGTCTCAAAAACAAACAAAAAAAACCCCTATTTTTCAAACGCCCCACTTCCAAGACGGGGAGGTCACTTCTTCCTATGACTCCACCCACTCACTTCTCACTACTCCACGCAAAGTTATTAAAAGAATTTCCCCTTGTTGGCTCTCTGACCCTTGAAAATCACTTTGTTGCTATCCTCTGCTTTTATACAACTTTCATTTCTTCCTCCCCTCCACACAGAGATGGCCCTTGGAACAGAGGTTAAAGAAGGGGGTTAAAAAGCAGCATGGCAAAATGCACCTCATGTGAGTATGACGGGACCTGTACAATGTTCTACCCGCTGACAGCCTCCCACAGCCTCAAAGAAGGCAGGGGCTGCAATGTCTCACCTCTTCTGGGCCGAGCTCGGCATTTCAATTGCACAGAGCTCACTCTGGGGTTTGGGGGTGTTCTCATTTCCACTGCTCTAGTCTTGCTGGTAACGATTCCTTTCCCAGACCTTTCATTCTCACCATGATCCCTAGGCCCCCAGTCCTCAGTGTTCTTCCAGGCTGTCACCACAACTCTGGCTTCCCTTTCCTCCCTTCCCGACCCTGATCAAGAAGAGAACGGGCATTCACTCGTGACTCCAAGCTCCCTCCACTACACTGGGGCTGCCTTTCCTTGGTACCGCCTCACCCCCACCTGCCTGGCTGCCAACATGATTTTGCTATTCACCAAACACAATGTCACAGGATCCCGGTGGCTGTGGGAAAACAATGGTCTCCTTTAGAAGAAATGTGTCAGAAGAAGACTTTCCTTTTCTGAGCAGCTTCCAAAGCTTATGGGACATGCTGCAGTTTCTGTACCTTGCTGGGTGTTGCCCTCAGGTTTTGCTGAGAGACTCTGTTTATCAGCTGACGAGGAACAACACAGTTGTTCACTTCATCTGTCACTCGTTTCCCTGCATCCAAGCCTTGCTGCTGCCTCTGACGGCTGCCGCCGTTTGTCTCCTGAGGGTTCGGCTGATGACGCAGCAGGTTTATCCTCCTGGCACAAAAAGCCTGCAGAGCGTCCTCTTCACTCTGTGATGCCTCCATGACGTCTGTCAACAACACATGCACAAAACAAAAAGGGCAGTTACTCTATCGGGTGAAGGAAGAATTGCTTCTTTTCTATCTTCACCACTTTCTGTTTTGATCATAGAGGAAGGGAAAAAAGGGAAAACAACATATTTTCCAAGAATCAGAGGGCACAGGAGAAAGGAAAGCACCAGAGAGGCACTGGATCTTGAGTCTTTTGAGCAGCCGGGTTTGAATTGTGGCTCTACCACTACCTGGAGGATCGAGGGGCACTTCCCTCTCTGGCCTCAGTTTCCCCATTTTCAGAATAAGGTGACCAGGCGACAAGGTGGCTAAAGTGTCTATACAGCTCTGCTGGAAGCGTGAGAGAATGTCAAGAAATCACTGTCCCAATCTGACAGTCTTAGTCTCACTTGAATCAAGATCTCATCAGTCTTTCTGCAATAATCCTTGCTTCATTCATTCATTCTTTTCCCAAACAAAGATTACACAGCGAGTCTGTCTTCTTGGAGGTGACCAAGCCAAGAGCGGGAATACCTTCTGAGTAACTGAACTGAGAGTGGTCATCTCTGCCTAGGCTGAAAGGGGAATCCTTTTTTTTTTTTTTAATTAATTAATTTATTTATTTATTTTTGGCGAGGCAGTGGGGTTAAGTGACTTGCCCAAGGTCACACAGCTAGTAAGTGTTATGTGTCTGAGGCCGAATTTGAACTCGGGTCCTCCCGAATCCAGGGCCGGTGCTCTATCCACTGCGCCACCTCGCTGCCCCCTGAAAGGGGAATCCTTGAGGGAATAACTGCTTTGGGGAAGACATCTCTCTAAGGGTGCACCAATGCTGACATGACCCTTGTTCCACTGAACTGAAGAAAGGATCCCTCAACCTCAGTGCCACACCTTGTTTTCTCTTCCTCAAGGAATGCTGTCTTTTGTTTCAGGGTAACCAGAAAATGGAAGTGGACATTGAATGGGGAAAAGGAAACTTCCATTAGCAGGGGAAACCTGGCTCAGTGGGATCTCCCTCCAGGCAGGAATGCTTGTAAAAATCAACCAACTGTCTCTCATAGACATTGGCTACAGGTGCAGAGCACAGTGTTTCTTCTCTTGCACTTGAAAAATCCCATGGCTCTCAGAGCTGGAAGGGCCTCCAGAAATCATCTAGGTCCACCCCTACCTGAAGCACAAATTTCTTCTAAAACATTCCTGGCAAAAATCTACCTCCTCAAACTCCAGTGAATGAGAACTCCATCACTTTGAAGGCTACCTCTAAGGCTACTCTCACATTTTAAAATAAGCATTTTAAATAACCTTAGTTAACTGATGCCTGTTGTCTTTAGCTCAGTCATGATCTCATCTCTCTCTGAATTCCTCCTAGCTGTCCCTTCTTACTTCCCAGGAATCCTAGGTTAGGCGCATCTGTCAGAGCTTTCGCAGACATTCCTCCATCAGTGGGCACAGATGACCCACTCTGTTCTCGCAAAAGTACTGCTGCGAATACTCTGATGTGGACATAGGACCTCTGTTTTGGGCTTTGACTGCCTTCCTTCCATATGTCTAGTCTAAAAGGACATGGAGTTTTCTGTCTATCTATCTTTCTATCGCTACAACATGGGCTAGAGTTAGGGGAAGAAAAGGGAATTGGAAAGGACTGCATTTAACTCTTTGTACATTCTTTGCACCACAACTTGGAGGCCTTCGAAGCACTTAGATTGACAGGATTTAGGGATGAAATGGATGTCAGCCATCATCCAGGCGATGGTTTTAAGGGGAAGGAATCTGCTACCAGGGTAGATTAAATGTCTTGTCTAAGGTCACACAGCACTCAGAACTCCTCACTCCACTCCTGGGATACCATGCTGCCTCTGCCCTGGTCCTCTCCTGCCTTGTCCATCTCCTTACACCTCACTGACCAACAGTGACTCTTCCATCCAGTGACCCTATCCTCCTGGCTGTTCTACCAACACCACCCTCCATCTTTCACCTATGGTCATTATCTTTGCCTGCCCCCCATGCCTGGAGGCCTCTCCCTCACCATCTCTACCTCCTGACTTCCCTGGCTTCCTTCAACTCCCAACATCTTCAGGAAGGCTGCCCCAACCTCTCTTAATTCTAGTGCCACCCCCTCGCCCCCTGCTTAATTATTTCCCATTTATCCTGTATGTTTGTTTTGTACATATCTGTTCACTTTTCATTTCTTTCCTCAAGCTGTGAAGTCCTGCAGGGCAGGGATGGGGTTTTCTGGCCTCTTTTTGCATCCCCAGGGCTTAGCAGAGTGCCTGGCACATAGTAGGTGCCTAATAAATATTTACTGACTCTAACAAACTGACAGGAAAATGCAATCTGGGGAACAATAAGTGAAAAGAATAAAACCAAATATCCAAATATCCTCATGCAAAAGAGCAGAAAACGAACTCTTCTGGTGGTCAATGTAACGAGAATCCAGGAGAAAGAATCAAACCAAATGTAGACAAAGAAGACTGTGCAGAGGTATGTGACAATTGTACCAAAAACTAGGCTCCCCACATGAACCATTTTCAGGACTGTCTAGCAGAAAATTAATGAAATCAAACGCACCTTGAGAGGACAAAGGTACTGTAATATTTTCAGCTACAAGGGATAAAGGCCCGCACAGTCATATGAGGAGGACAACCGGCAGAAAGCACATGGATTCCAAGGTTGGAGACCTGGGTTCAAGTCTTGGTTCAGCTACCTAGTATCTACCTGACCATAAGCCAGCCAGCTACTGAACTTCTCAGGGCTCAGTTTTCTCCTCTGTAGAACAAGAGGGTTGGAATCAGATGATTTCCCAGGTACCTTCTAGCTCAAAAATGTCAAAGCGTGTCCACGAAGAGGACATATATGATACTTCTGGGCTCTGACTTAAATTTCACTCTGCCACACCTGGGCATACCTTCATTTTCATAGGACTTGTTTTGTGCTTCCAAATCTAAACGTTTAGCATTTGGAAGGATCACACAATCAAACCCTGCTTTTTTCTGATAAATGAAGTATTGTTCCCAGCCGCGCCGGAGGTGGGGTTGGTGGCACTACTGCATGTCTAAAGAACAGGTGACGCCTTCTAATGAGCATCTACTTAAGGTCAGAGAGAGACGGGAGTCAGGAAAGGTAATTACTGCACTGTGAGTTTTCCTTTGCTGGAAGTAAGTGCCCTTATTCTGTTGAAAACTGAACAGAGCAAAGCTATCCATTTCAAAATTCACTACCTAGTTTTGTCATGCACAGCAGGAATGAGCACACCTGACATTTACCCACAACAAAACAGATGGCGAAAATGAGGCGCCATGTGACAAATGGTGTTTTCCATACACGCACCAATCATACTCTTCACTCAACTAAGGAGATTTAATATTGAGTCAAGCTGGTCCAAAACATAAGCACAAGGTCAAGGACACTCCTGGGGGTGGAGGTGAGGGTGGGCACTGCGATGACAATAAAGATTGCTTCCAAGTGGACAAAAGCTGGTCTCCCTGGGCCACGAACCAGAGCCGCAGGTACAAGATACACTAGCTAACATTCGCATCGGGGTTCCCTCCCCACAGCTCATTCATGTGTTTGAGCCAGGACTGGAACCCAGATCCCCTAGGTTAGAGCACCAGGCCTCGTTTTACTTCATCACAGTGCTCCTGATAACTGAACCCAAGTCCTCAGTCTCCAAATGCAATGCTATGTGAACCCAGGACTTGGGTGCCAGTAAAGGCAGCACTGCAGTGCAGAGTAAAGAACATGAGGAGGCCTAGCTAGGTTCAAGTCCTGGCTCTGACACACAGAAGAGCCGGGGCGGGGAGGCCTTGGATTGGGCAGAAATCAGAGGCAAAGCACCTTCCCCCTGCACTCCACAAAGCACTGGAGAGAACACTGGCTGAGGAGTTGAGCCTCCCAGCCCTCCTCATCACCAACGCCTCCCCATGCCCTTCTCTGCTACCCTCTCATACAAATGGAAATCCCTAGAAGGGATGGATCATGACTACAATGAAACCTCTGCTTATGTAGGCAAAAAAGAAAACACCTCCACAGTGCCTCTACAGTCTTTCCTGGAGCATTTCCTCTAGTTCTGCCTTCCCTGGGAAAGGGCAAGAAGGCCAAAACTTCAGCATTCTGGCCCAGCAAAGCAAGAAGATGCATGACATCCTCTTTGGTGACCTCCTTCCAAAAAAAAAAAAAAGGCCCTGGCTGGCTGACCAGGACAATAAAAACTACTTGCACTGATATAACACTTAGAGGTTTGACAAAGGCTTTGGTCACAGCACCCTTGAGAGGTAGACGGTGTAAGTATGATGTCTGTCTTACACAGAAGCAAACTGAGGCTCAGAAAGTCTAGGTACCTTGTCCATGGTCACACAGCTTTCAACAAAGCAGTCGGAGAAGGAGGAGGTTACTGCTAACTCAGGGCACAGGCTTACCTGCTTGGGATACGGGGCCTGCCTGGGGCTGTCCAATGTGACTTTCTTTGCCCTTGAGAAGCTGGATCCACTTTTGACTCAATTTCCTTTCTAGAGCAGCAGAGTCCAATGGCTTCAACGGCTCATCTAAATTAAGACAGTGAAACATTAGCTGACTCTGGTATGGGGCAAGCTATTGAACACCTCACAAAGAAGACTCTTGCCAGCACAGTCTTTGAGGACATCCAGTGGTTCAATATCAGAAACCCATAAGGTATTAATTATCGTTAGTTTGATGAAACTAAAGAAGACTGCAGCACCACAAGCCTACCTCTGCACCCTAAGGACCAAAGTGCCTTTCAATGTGCTCTCAACCCAATCGATCCCTCTGGGTGGCCTCCCTCTTTGGAGCCTGAGCTCCTGCAGGGCAGGGCCTGGTTTGCTTGGTTTGTGCACGTTCTACAGTGCTATGCACTTAGTAGGCACCTGATAAATGTTTTGTTGTTCATGCCTTCCTTCAAGGCTATGGCAGGAATCTCAAACAACCAAATTTGAAGGACTGTAAAGAACACACTAAGGAACAGACATTTGGGGGATTGAGCTTCTAACCTTGCCTCCCCAGGATGACCCTATGTAGGGCACTATCTACTACAAAGGTCACTCTTAACTTCTTGAGGACACCCTACCCAGTGATGAGACCACATAAATACACTGGATCCCAGGCACCAAAGAGTACTTCAATCCCCTATTTGGGACATAATAAAAATCAATACAACCAGCACTGTTTAGGACTGCTTCCTCATTGGCTACAATGGGAGGAGGAGACCCCCCCATAGAACCCCGGAATTGGAAAGTGCCGCAGGAAGCCATCTACTTGGACTGAGAAAGAAGCAGGCTCCTGCCACTCAGGAGAGGCAGCAAAAAAACAGAAGCCAGGAATGACAAACATGTTGTTAGAAATGGCCAACCTGTTGGTTTCTTTTGCTGAACCATACTTTTCCATTACCAGGCAAGGTGCTATTCAAGATGGGGAGATGTCACTGGGGTGGTGGCAAGGGGAAAAAAAACACAACTTTGTTTTCTTTTTTTTTCCAAGTTCTCTCATCTCAACCTCTGCCTCCAGGCTAGACGGTGTACCTAAGTCTGCCTGCCCAAAGGGCTGATGATTGAAGGCCTCAGAACCTGGCTGTTAGCCTACTATAGGGTTCAGAGCCCTTGAGAGCAAATAGTTTCTTTCCCCAGTTGCCACATGAACCCGTTTCCTCTTTGTCTGTTTCCTAAGGAGATGGAGAAATGGTTAGCTTCTTTGCTCAAGTAACCCTGAATTCCATTATCAACCTATGCCTCATCATTCTTTTCTCCCCCGTGTCGTGAGAGACACTGAAGAATTATCTTGACAGACAAATCCCGATGACTGGTGCTAATGGAAAGAATGGCCTGTGGAAATCTATTATTCCAAAGAGAAAATTTTCCAAATTCAGTTCTTTCTACCCTTCGAAGGCATTTCGTTATTTTCCTGGAGCAGATGTGTTTTTGTAATGACATTCATTGTACAGAAATATTCAACGTAGCCTCTGTTTCCTGAGCGTGTGTGGTCTCAGGGAAAGAGGCTCGGATTTCATATCAAAGGATGTGGGTTCCAGTCCAGCTCTTGTCCAAATTACCCATGTGACTTCTTACAAGTTACTTCACTTATATGGGCCTCAGCTTACTCAACTGTCAATCCAAGGTTGGAGACAACTCAGGTCCCTTTTAACTCTCAATCCCAGGTCCCCAGTGCGAGTACAACTCACAGAGAGGGCCACTGTCAGGAAAAGATTCAAACTGTGATAGAAAGGGGAATGAGGAGAAGGCTGAAGGAGGGACACTAGAGGTTGGGCTGTGTGGCAGGTGGAGGTGGGGAGGAAGAACAATATACATGGTGAGAAGTCTGCAAAAGTAATTCCTTGTGACTTCCAGTGGCCTTCAATAACCCCCACTGTATTTTCTTTGGAACAGACTGGCCCTCTTCAGCAATGTACCCTGGTGTGGACTTTTTAAAATCTCTACTTGGCCTGCAGCCTCAGAGGAACTAGTGACTATGTCATTTGTGGGGGGCTGAGCCAGGGGGTTGCTTCTGTTGAGTTCTGCATGTTGTAGATGTCCACGCTCAACCTGTCAATGGCAACAGGGCTGGCCCTCATTACTCTAGGCAAAAAATGGGCTAAGGTAGGGAGTGGGTGGGAGCGTAACCCTGAGTGTGTGGCCAACAGAACTCACTTAGCAAAGTGCCTGGCATTTAGGAGGTGCTCAATAAATGTTTACCAATTGATGGACTCACAAACAGCCCTTTCCCACTCCCTCCCAATGGGATTTCTGTACCTTCATCCTTTAAGCTTGGCATCAGCTTCTTGCTCATAGGTTGGTTCCCACGGGCACTGGGCCCGGCCTGGCATTCTTCAGAAGAGACCAAGGAGCCAGAGGGTTTCCCCTCAGTCAGTTGACATTTTTCTTTTTCTTCCTCCTCCTCCTCCTCCTCCTCTGTGAAGGACTCAAAAGTCTCACTGGAATAGCTGGAATGAACACTGCTATGGTCCACTACTGACTGGTGAGAATCATCCCTGGCCCTCTTTGGTGAGGCTCCATCAAGCACCACATAAGGCATTGCTACAAAGACCAGAAGGTGGCTTGGTTGGCAAATAAGCTCTTTGCTCTCTGCTGCCCACCCGCCCTCCTCTCCCCACCCCCTTGGCATGACTAAGGAAAGAGCAACATCACAGAACCAGGATGATTTATGGGGCTGGCAGAGAGGGACAGACAGAGGAAACAAGAAAGATCTCCAAATGAGACCTTCCTCAGCTACATCTCATTCGATGTAGGCACATCTCTTTGGTGTCTGCCTGAAACATACACGTGCAAATTGACTCACATGAAACTGACAGACTTTGTGAGAATCCAGTCCCTGAGGCTTAAGACTCTAGGGATATTTGTGGAAATTGCTCGGATGTTCATTTTCCTCCTAAAGTGGATTGGGAACAGTAAGGGATGGAGTTAGGGTTAGGAAGCAAAGTGGCCCCATGGGCTAAACAATTCCCCAAATCATTCCCCTGAACTACAAAGTCAAGGCTTAGTTTTATAGCCAGTTACCTGGGGCTTACAGATAAATGACACCCACCTACCCAGTGGGAATGGGTGGCAAATAGAGGGGAATAGCTAAGGGAAGGAGAAGAGGGTCACTTATTAGATGGACTGACAAACAGCCCTTTCCCGCTCCCTCCCAATGGGATTTCTGTACCTTCATCCTTTAAGCTTGGCATCAGCTTCTTGCTCACAGGTTGGCTCCCAGCGGCACTAGACCCAGCCTAGCATTCTTCAGAAGAGACCAGTGAGCCAGAGGGTTTCCCCTCAGTCAGTTGACATTTTTCTTTTTCTTCCTCCTCCGTGAAGGACTCAAAGGTCTCACTGGAAGGTCTCACTAGGTCCATTCAATGGTCTGCAAAGCAAATTACCCGGTAGGTCAAACCCTATCTGGGAGGTCTTATATCAGTGGTCTGTGGCTTAGGGGGGACAAAACAAGTTGATCAAAGATACAGCTACTATGATATTTACTTTAGAAACTTGTACAACCTGGAAAAAGGCTTAAAATTGGGCAAATAACTTGGCTGTGTCTCCAGAGCCTATAAGAGTCATTCTTTTTGTCGTGGCCAAAAACTAGGAATTGAGAGGATGCCCACCAATTGGGGAATGGCTGGAAAAGTTGTGGTATATGAATGTAATGGAATACTAGCGTGCCATAAGAAAAGATGAGCAGCTGGACTTCAGAAAAACCTGGAAAGAAGATTTACGTGAACTGATGCTGAGAGAAGTGAGCAGAATCAGGAGAACATTGTGCAATGACCAGCTCTGACAGACTTAACTCTTCTCAGCAGTACAAGGATCTAAGACAATTCCAAAAGACTCATGAGGGAAAATGCTGTCCACATCCAGAGAAAGAACTATGTAATCTGAATGCAGATGAAAGGATGCTGTTTTCTCTCTTTCTCTTTTTTTCTTTCTTCTTTCTCATGGTCTTTTCCTTTGGTTCTAATTCTTCTTTCACAACATGACTAAAGTGGAAATATATTTAGTATGACTGTACATGTCTAACATACATCAGATTGCATGCCATCTTGGGGAGATGGGAGCGGAGGGAGGAGGAGAAAATTTAGAACTCAAAATCCTATAGAAGTGAATGTTGAAAACTAAAAACAAAGAAATAATAAAAATTTACAAAAAAAAAAAAAGAAGAAGAAGGTAAAAGCCAAGCCTACAAATTCAAGTTTCCATCCTAAAAGCTATTTATTTGAGGGGCAGCTAGGTGGCACAGGGGATAGAGCACAGGACCTGAGTTCAAATCCAGCCTCAGACACATATCACTTACTAGCTGTCTGACCCTGGGCAAGTCACTTAACCCCATTGCCTAGCCAAAATTTAAAAAAAAAAGTTATTTATTTGGGAACTCATACTTCCCACAGGCTAAATCTTATCCTATGGAGTCTAATGCTTGAGTCTTCTCAAGTTTACATAGTATTTCATGTACATTATCTCAGGGGCTCCTCACACCATCCCTCTGAGGGAGGGACTACAGGTATCACCTTCTCTCCTATAAAACTGACTTGAGTGCTCATGACCACACAGCTAAAAGTACCACAGGCAGGATTCCAATTTGGATTTCCCAGGTACTCAGTTCAGCCCGATAGCTCACACACCACATTGCTTCCTCTCCTTACTACATGTTAAAATGTGAGTTTCCCAGAATGTTCAATGTAACAAGTTGGCCCATTCCTTTACTTTTCTGGGCTGAAGGTGAACCAGAAAAGTGTTTCTGTTTTAAAACTTGTAGACAAATATCTTCTCAACAGAAAAATAGTCCACATTCCTGCCTGACTAAATACAATATAATATACAATGTCAAACTGTCTTTTGATAATGCAGAATGTTGCTGGAACACAAGGCCATCCTTCTGAGCAATCCTCCCAGCTCTCTGTGGGAGCTGGGAGTACAACGTGTACAGGGAGATCAGTCTGTAAGGACACCAGATCACCCCTTGCCAGCTCTTCTTGATGGCTGCCGTTACTTTTCTTTGCACGGTCCTCAACTCAGCTCCTCTTCCCCACCCCCCCCATATGATATTGTCATCTGCTCATCCTCCTCTTTGTCCTGAAAGAGAGGGGGCAAAAAAAAAAAAACAACCATTGGAAAGGTTACTGGAAAAGACCTCAAAGAACAAGGATTCTTACCCTGGAGTGCACAGACCCCACCCTCCAGAGTCTATGGATGGTTTTCAGGAGCTCTGTGAACTTAGATGGGGCAGAGGGTGGAGAATTACATGTTTCTTTCCCCTAACTTTTTTTTTTTATTCAATAAAGATTTATTAATTGCTTACTATATGATATACAGTGTACTGGGTACTCAGGAGATTAAAAAACAAAACAAAAAAAACCCCCTCTAAACAACAACAGCATTAACACAACAAAAACAACTAAACAAATAGTGCCCATATGCAAGGATCTCATGTTCTTTTATGTTTTTTAATTGTTTCATTAATTTATTTTGATTTATCAACAATCACTTCTAGAAGCTTTTGAGTTTTAAATTTTTCTTCCCCTCCCTCCCAAAGACAGCATGCAATCTGATAATAGGCTATACAAATACATTCCTATTAAACATATTTTCACATTAGTGATGTTGTAAGTAAGAATTAGAACAAATAGGAGTGAAGCGAGCAGAACCAGAACGTTGTACACAGTAACATCCACGTTGTTCCATGACTAATATTGATAGACTTAATCCTTCCCGAGAACACAAGGATCTAATACATCTACAAACGCCTCATGATGGAAAAGGCTATCTACATCCAAAGAAAGAACTATGGAGTTTGAATGTAGATCGAAGCATGCCATTTGCTATTTTTTTTTTCTTCTGTTGTGTTTTGTTTCCTCTTTCTGGTGGTTCCTCCCCTAACTTCTAAGTGACCTCAAGCATCCCCAATTAGGAATGCGGGCAACAAACACGATTCTGAAAATGGGTCCATCAGCTTCCCCAGACTGACTACCAAAGGGGTTCATGATCCCCAAAATGTGAAGGTCCCCTGTCCTAGAGTCTAAGCAGCTTCATTTCACTGAGGAGACTCCTGAGTGCTTCGTCTGAGTCCCCAGACCTAGTTCAGAGCCAGGACAAACCCCAGGCCCTGCCTTCAGCCACCTCCCCTTCTGCCTTTTCTTTTTCCTCCTCTTCCTCCTCCTCCTGCTCTTCTCTTTTCCCAGTATACCCCCTGTAGTGCCAGTTTACTGAGGTCTCCTCTGAACCTTTAAATCATTACAAGTTGTTATCAAGCCCTTCCATCACTAGAATGTTTGTATGTTTGTTTGTGTGTGTGTGTGTGTGTGTGTGTGTCTGTGTCTGTGTCTTCTAATGCCTTACAACAGCTGGTAAATGACACACTATTTTCACATCCCTTCTGTCAGGTGATCAAAGAATCAGTTTTATCACCAACTTCTCAAGTAGAAAGACCCTTTTTGACCCCAGAAGACTTGAGCTACATGGGCTCCTGCAAATCACTGAGTCCCATTTCCTAGCACCGAACCAGGAAAACAAGGCTGGCTGGCTAAAGATCAGAACGACCAAGGGTCCTGGCAGTAGAAGCCAGCTCTCCAGGCTGCCAGGCCCTTTCCACCCCATCAGGCAAGACAGTGCCTACAATCAAATTCAAGATGGACTAAGGAAGGGAGGAATGCCCATCAACTGGAGAATGGCTAAACAAGTTGTGGTATATGGTAGTGAAGGAATACTACTGTGCTATAAGAAATAATGAGCTCGATGATTTTAGAGGAACATGGAAAGACTTGCAC